GTATATATTTAACTTTGACCTTATTAACAATTATGTTTTGTAAGTACCACCACGGGAGTCTCATGCTTTGGGGGACTTAAATAACCATTGGCCTCTGTTTGGCCACTTTGTGGTCTTCTGTTTGTCATGGATCCATTGACCTCTGTTCTGACTGTCACTTCTGTGACCTCTGTTTTGTTCTGTTTTGTACCGTGATTATGGTTATTTATTTATATAATTTTTGTATTTCAGTTTCTACCACTTAAATGATTTATTCTCCAAATTGAGTTATGTAAATGTTTTGGCCTAACTAACCATCTATGGTTATTTTGTATTTCCTATACTCTTGGCATAATATTTCTCACTCTGTTGTGTGCTTATAGCTGTTACCCTTTCAGGTGACGAGATGTAAAGGAAACCCATAATCTCACGAAATGGAACTCGCACGTGGATTGATGTTGAACCACTATTTTGTCTTTCTTTTTTTTTTTAATTATATTTTTGCTCCCTTTTGTTTCTACTCAGGGCCGGTCATAAAATAATAAAATAATAAAAGCCCTATAGATGTATTTTCTCTCATTAAAATAGTAAAATGGAGTAATTTCCTATTTACTTATTTTTATTTTCGCTTGCATAGTTAAATTTGCTAAGAATAGGATAAGTTAGTAGGTTATGATTCCAACCCTAAGCCCATAGGGTTGGGTCGTGACATTAAAAACACAGACAAATGTTATGTCATTGTATGCCTTTATGTGGATGATATACTCATCATAGGTAGCAATAATGATATGATTAAAACTATTAAGAAAATGTTGAATAAATATTTTGACATGAAGGACATGGGGCTTGCGGATGTAATAGTTGGTAGGAAAATTACCAAAACATCAGAAGGTTATGCTTTGTCACAATCTCAGTACATTGAGAAAATACTTGAGAAATTTAGCAAAGATGATGATCATCTCGCTAGAACACTTGTGGATGTAAATTTGTTTCTTTCTAAGAATGTACATGAAAGTATTTCTCAATTAGAGTATATTCAAATTATTAGAAGCTTAATGTACTTGATGAGCTGCACTCGCCCAGATATAGCTTATGCAGTAAGTAAATTAAGTAGATATACGATTAATCTAAGAGTAGAACACTGGAAAGCAATTATAAGGGTTCTAAGATATCTCCGAATTACTCGTAACATTGGGCTTAATTATGCTAGATATCCAACAGTACTTAAAGGATACTGTGATGCAAACTGGATATCGGATACTAGAGACTCGAAATCCACCAGTGGGCATGTCTTTACTCTTGGTGGGGCGACTGTATTTTGAAAATCTTCCAAATAGGCTTGCATTGCTAGATCTACTATGGAATCAGAATTCATAACTTTAGATAAAGCTGGGAAAGAAGTATAATTGCTTCACCACTTCCTTGAAGATATTCTAATGTGGCCAAAACCGGTGCCTGCTATTTGCATATATTGTGATAGTCAATCAGCAATAGGTAAAACACAGAGTCATATGTATAACGGTAAGTCGCGACACATTCGTCGTCGACATAACACCGTAAGACAACTACTCTCTAATGGAATTATTTCCATTGAATATGTGAAGTCTAAAGACAACACAGCGGATCCACTAACCAAAGGATTAGCAAGAAAGTTAGTTGAGAATTCATCAAGGGGAATGGGACTTAAGCCTATTAAATAAGAGTTACCACAACGGCAACCCAACTTAGTTGACTGGAGATCCCATAATTTAGGTTCAAAGGGACAACCGAGTTGTGTATGACTCATAAGGATCATTGGGGAGTCAAACTCCTACCCATTTCTATGTTGAAAATAGTGATGCCTGCAACGTTTTAGGTTAACTAATACTTTTAATGATTCTTATATCTAGGTATACTTAGTGGAGTATGGCAGGATACTCTTTATAAGAATCACCTATATGAGTGTGAATTGGGCCGGTTCTATGAGATTTGTGAAGGGCTACAATTCTCTATAGCACTCATGAAAGACTAGGTTATTCAAGGCCAAAATGAACACAATAGTGAGAACTAAATTGTGTCTGGTAATATACTGTGTGAGTTCTATTTTCTTGGTTTACACAAATGGTTGAACAGTTCAAGACATTATATTCGCTGGTTAGCTAGTAAATTCGACAGTGTCTCACAAGGGAAGGTTCAACTCCAAAAGCTACCTATCATTTGCAGAATATTTTCAAATTCTGTACTCTTTATAATTAGATCATGTTGTTGCATTTTCTCTCTGTCAAATTCCATTCATGTGGAGAATTGTTGGAAAATTTGATTTTTATAGGCTTATTTTGGGCCAACTTTGAGCCCAATTTTGAGTGGGTCCCAAACATCTTTTGGGGTGAGTCCGAAGAGGTGACGTGCTCCTTACCGCATGGCAAGTCATATAGTGAAGACGGTTCGTTAAAACCATTTATGAGTGAATGAGAACTTGACGTCGTTTTCAGGTTCGTGGAATGGACATTTAAAGAATTAAATGTGGGTTTCCTTGAACTGTGTTGTCCCACATTAAAACTTTAAGAGAACTTTTGTGAGTATATAAGCTTTAGGTGTACAACCTTGGGTTGGGCCACAAAGGGCACCTTAAGTTTGTAGAAGGGAGGAGATATGGACGAAGTAAACCTTAGCCCAAACCACCACACACGAGCACGTGAGTGCCGCCGCCGCTGCTGTCCGTCTGACCAGTCGAGCCGAGCTGGGCACGAGTGTGGGTATGGGTTGGGTCGATTTTTATATTAATTTTTGGACAAATTTATTTGAATTTTTTCTAAAATTTTTTAATGAAATTAAATTCAAATTTTGTGCCAAAATTGAATTTAATTTTCTGTTCAACATATTCAAACTGCTTTGACAGGTTTAAAAACTGCCTAGAACAAATTTAAAACTGCTGTGTAGTTATCTATGAAACTGCCACCAGATTTGTTTGAATTTCAAACAGTATCTGTCCAGTTTGAATTTGCATCTGTTCACTTTAAATATGTACCTGTTCGGGTCTGTCTTTTTGCCTATAAATAGAGGCCATTTCCAGTAGTCTTTTGCATCTGAAAAGATCCAGAAAATAATCTGTTCTCTTCCCATTTTGCTCTTTCTTTGCATAATTATTCATATTAAATTTTAGGGAATACTTTGAGAGTATAAACACAAGTTTAGTTTGCCGAACAAATTGTTTGGAGTGCTACTACAATTTGTGAAAATCATTGTATCTTGGGAGATACACGCCTTTTATCTGTAAACACCGTAGCGGGGCGAATCTGTCTTAAGGACAAAGTGTCACACACTTGACTTGATCTTGAAAATATTTATTCGGTTCGGTAAAATAAATTCTGTAAGTAATTTATTTTTATTTGTTTGATTTGTTTCAATTTATTTATCTTACACAGAAGTTGGTTCCAACACAAACAACAGGGAATGAAAAAATTTTAACCATTTAGTTTGGTACAAAAAAATCTCTAATTCGCATCAAGAATGTGCTAGCAGCGAACTATGATGTGAAGCGAAAACTGCACAGTGAGACGATATTTTTTGTGAGTATTACAGAGCCATGTAAAAGTGGAACACAATAGGTTCAATGAAATATGACAATAAAGCAACATCTAGTCCGATCTGATCTTTTCTTTCTTTCCCTCTTCTATATGGTGGTAATTCTGTCTTGTAGGTTAGCTTAGTACGTGCCACTATAATCTAAGCAAATTATTGAATCATGTTGGAAATGTTGTTAAAAAAAAAAAAATCGAAGAGAAAAAGAAAACACAACTAATCGATGATCATCCAAACAATGTTTGTTTGATTTTTCATTCATTCATATCTTCATTAGAGAGGTTGGAAACTTTGACTAAAGTCATTTCCAAAAATACATAATGATGGTCCTCTGTGTGTATGGATCTGAGTTTTGAAGCTACACTTTGGTATGCATGTTGTGCCAGTGCCAACCTTCCTAGTGCAACAAAAAAATAGAAAAATAGAAAAAGAAGAGGACAAAGAGATTCAGCACCGTAGGGTTGTAAAATGAACAAAATTACTCAAACTCAACACATGTTCAACTCGTTACAAGTTGTTTGAGATCAGTTCATTATATAAACAGGCCAAGTTTGAACACAATTTGAAACTAGTTAATCTTCTGAGGTCTTGGGGCTTGGGTTAGTTGGCCCACTAGACGGCGAAGATGGTCGAACCACGTTTGGCGGAACCGGTGGAAGCTCATATAGTGTGAACTATAGAGAGAGAGAGAGAGAGAGAGAGAGATCTGGGTTGGGGTTGGTTTTTAGATGTGGAGGTTTGTAAAACGACTGAGGCCGAGGCGTGCTCAGAGACAGGCACATGCATACTAGTTGGGAGAATATGAGTGGACAGTTCAGTTTCTTTCCTATTGTAAACGTCCTGTGAATGGGTAATTATTCAGTCGTAGTATTCTATAATATTGTAATTGGTGAAAAAAATAGATAAGTGAAGTATTGTGTTGGGTGATTGAGAAATATGAGAAGGCATAAATGATGATTGTTAAATAGTATGGACATATGGTACTCCAAAAATATTCTATAATTTTCCTTGTGAATGACAAATCACTCTATGAGTAAGATTTTTTTTTTTTTTTTGGAACAAACTGAAGGAAAATGATTGATTAATAAAATTTGTGGAATGCTATTTATGGTCATATTTATGTTATGTTTTATTTTTTCGTTTATTTATATATTTATATAATAATTTTATTTTATATGTTGATTTAGCATATTTGAAAAAAATGATAAAAAGTAAAAAAATTTGATAAAATATTATTTAGAGTAATGTAACAGTGATTATTAAAGTTGGTTGTGTTTCGAATTTGAAACTTTTTTTATTGCATGCCACATAGTTAATAAGAAAATTTTATAAAATTTGTTTATTTATATAAAATTTTTCTTTCGAAAATTATGATTTTTAAAATTTTTAATTTAAAATTTTTTTTTTTTTATATTTATTATAATTGCCAAAAATCTCAAGTTAAGATCAAAATAGGAAAAAATTCTTCCAGAATCTCAAGCCCAAGTCCCAGATGGTTTATTTTTGTATAAAAGACGGAAATTGCCTCAAATTCGACTTGAATCTCTGCCAAAAATGTATCTCCTTGTCCAATCAGATACCACTAAGAACCTCGTGCGCCAGCTGACTTGCTTGCTGAAAGTAACAAACGACTAAAAGAGTTAGATTCACCGACATTACCTGATCTAAGGAAAAGCAAACGCAATTCAAGCTGTAGTAAATGATCACCTTGCATATACAGAATACCACAGCCACTGTGTGCTGTGACCCACAGAAACCCAGTCGCCAGGCAGTTCTGCTGCCGCCTGATCTCCACCCAGAGTCGCAAATTGGCCTAGATGCTGGTACCTTGTGAGCAAAAAGTTGCCAGCAAGTCATTATTCATGAAATAGACTAGAAAATGGTAGGATATGTACATTTTATTTCTCAGGAATAAAATTCGCATTTGACAAAAGATCTGAGCAGGGGAATGAGTGAGAAAGTAGTTATAAAATTGGCCCAACAATGTATATCAAGCTATTCAACACCTCATGTGCAACCCCGTATTGCACATGAAGATGCAAACAAACATACCTGATGAGCACAGGGATAGTTGAACACAAGACCTCGTCTAACCTGAACTTTGATACCATGTCAAGTCATAATTTTTCAAAAACTTAAGATGTTAGAAAATGGGCCTAACAACACATATCAAGCTATTCAACAGTATTTTTTTCCCCCCGGAAATCGGGAGTTTTCTTCCTTAAAAAATTATCAACAGTCAAAATGATGATTGATAATGTACATAGAAATAATAAAAACAAATTTAAAAGAAAGATGAACCTTGAAAATAGTAGTATGATTACCGAAAGGGGCGAAATTGATGACGTCCAGAAGCTCTAAAGCGGCGAGGTCCTTCTGGATTATTTTCAGGAAAAAAAAAAAAAAAAAAGCACCTAGAAAGATATTCTCTCTATATCAAAGTGTATGATATCATAAACATAAACAAATGGGTAGCCTTTATTTTATTCCTCATGGTATTCGTCCAAAGCATCATGTGCAAACATGTGTTTTCGGATAAAAAATAAATAAAAGTGATCTAATTGTATAATGGATGCATTATGCAATTATAAATTTACATTTTTGAGTAGGTACGAGTTTTGAACAATGTTTTATGCATGTGGATTTTGAAATTTTTTCTCGACAGTATTTATAGTTGTGGACTATAGAATTTTTTTTTTTTCTGATATTGAGTTGATATTGGTCACTACTACAAATGTGCAAAGGTTTTGTTTTGTTTTGTTTTGTTTTTTTTTTTTTTTTTCATAGATTGAGTTGATGTTGGTCACTACTACAAAAATGGTAATAAGGGACCATGGATTTTGGTTGTGATATTTTATTTCCAATCCATCAACCCTCTATTTTTTTGGCACATGAACCGTGATCTATTTGGTCGCAGCCTCCTCAAAAATTTTACAATGGTGATATTTTCTTTCCAATCCCTCACTCCTCTCTTTCTTTGTCACATGAACCGTGATCTATTTGGTCATATCCTGAAAATTTTCAAGTAGGTATGAATACTATATGTTATGTTGGAAAAAATGGTTTATATATGCTTATTTTGGGCCAACTTTGAGCCCAAAATTGAGTGGGCCCCAAACGTCTTTTGGGGTGGGTCCGAAGAGGTGAAGTGTTCCTTGCCGCGTGGTAAGTCACACGATGAAGATGGTTCGCCAAAACCATTTATGAGTGAATGGGAACTTAACGTCGTTTTCAGGTTCGTGGAATTGAACAAATTCAAGAATTAAATGTGGGTTTCCTTATATGGGTTGTCCCACATTGAAACTTGAACATAGCTTTTGTGAGTATATAAGCTCTAGGTGTACAACCTTAGGTTGGGCCCCAAGGGGCACTCTAAGTTTGTAGAAGGGAGGAGTTATGGACAAAATGAACCTTAGCCCAAACCACCACACATGCGACGCCGTCCGTCCGTCTGACCAGCCGGTCGAGCCGAATGTGGGTGTGGGTCGGGTCGGTTCTTATATTAATATTTGGACAAAATTTATTTAAATTTTTGCCAGAAATTCTTAATGAAATTAAATTCAAATTTTGTGCCAAAATTGAATTTGAATTTAATTTTCTGTCCAAATTTACCTCATTCAGTTCAAAATTCCTAATAGATTCAAACTATTTCGACAGGTTTAAAAAATGCCCAGAACAAATTTAAAACTGTTGTGCGGTTATCTGTGAAACTGCCACCAGATTTGTTTGAATTTTAAACAGTATCTATCTAGTTTGAATTTGCATCTGTTCACTTTAAATATGTACCTGTTCGGGTGTGTCTTTTTGCCTATAAATAGAGGCCATTTCCAACAGTCTTTTGCATCCGAAAAGATCCAAAAAATAATATGTTCTCTTTCCATTTTGCTCTTTCTTTGCATAATTATTTATATTAAATTTTAGGGAATACTTTGTGAGTATAGAACACAGGTTTGGTTCGCCGAACAAATTGTTTGGAGTGTTACTACAATTTGTAAAGATCATTGTATCCTGGGAGATACACGCCTTTTATCCGTAAGCACCGTAGCGGGACGAATCTGTCTTAAGGACATATTGTCACACACTCGACTTGATCTTGAAAATATTTATTCGGTTCGGTAAAATAAATTCTGTAAGTAATTTATTTTTATTTGTTTGATCTGTTTCAATTTATTTATTTTACACAGAAATTTGTTCCAACACAAACAACGAGGAATGAAAAAATTTCAACCATTTAGTCTGGTACAAATAAAGCTCTGATTTGCATCAAGAATGTGCTAGCAGCGAACTATAATGTAAAGCGAGAAATGCACAGTGAGACGATATTTTTTGTGAGTATTACAGAGCCATATAAAAGTGGAACACAATAGGTTCAATGCAATATGACAATAAAGCAACGTCTAGTCCGATCTGATCCTTTCTTTCCTTCCCTCTTCTAAATGGTGGTAATTCTGTCTTGTAGGTTAGCCTAGTACGTGGGACTATAATCTAAGCAAATTATTGAATCATGCTGGAAATGTCGTTAAAAAAAAAAAAAAAATCGAAAAGAGAAAGAAAACACAACTAATCGATGATCATCCAAACAATGTTTGTTTGATTTTTCATTCATTCATATCTTCATTAGAGAGGTTGGAAACTTTGACTAAAGTCATTTCCCAAAATACATAATGATGGTCCTCTGTGTGTGTATGGATCAGAGTTTTGAAGCTACACTTTGGTATGCATGTTGTGCTAGTGCCAACCTTCCTAGAACAACAAAAAAACAGAAAAAAAGAAAAAGAAAAAGGAGAGGACAAAGAGATTCAGCACCATAGGGTTGTAAAATGAACCAAACTACTCAAACTCAACACGTGTTCAACTCGTTACAAGTTGTTTGAGATTTATTCGTTATATAAACAAGCCAAGTTTGAACACAATTTGAAACTAGTTAATTTTCTGAGGTCTTGGGGCTTGGGTTAGTTGGTTCACCAGGCGACAGAGATGGTCGAACCACGTTTGGTGGAACCGGTGGAAGCTCATTTAGTGTGAACTGTAGAGAGAGAGAGAGAGAGAGAGAGAGAGAGAGATCTGGGGTTGGGTTGGGGTTGGGGTTGGTTTTTAGATGGGGAGGTTTGTAAAACGGCCGAGGCTGAGGCGTGCTTAGAGACAGGCACATGCATACTAGTTGGGAGAATATGAGTGGACAGTTCAGTTTCTTTCCTATTGTAAACGTCTTGTGAATAGGTAATTATTTAGTCATGGTATTCTATAATATTGTAATTGGCGAAAAAAATGGATAAGTGAAGTATTGTGTTGGGTAATTGAGGAATATGAGAAGGTATAAATAATAATTGGTTAAATAGTACGGACATGTGGTATTCTAGAAATATTCTATAATTTTTCTTGTGAATGACAAATCACTCTATGAGTAAGATATATATTTTTTTTTTTGGAACAAACTGAAGGAAAATGATTGATTAATAAAATTTGTGGAATGTTATTTATGGTCATATTTATGTTATGTTTTATTTTTTTGTTTATTTATATATTTATATAATAATGTTATTTTATATGTTGATCACCACTTTCTCTGTTTTCTGCATTTTTTATTTTATTTATTTTTTTTTTGATGATGAGGACGATCTGTAGTATATATATGTTGTTGATGATAATGATGATCTGCAGTGTAAATTTTTAGTGTTGATGATGATGATGATTTGCAGTATAAATATGGTGTTAATTTTTGGTGTTGATGATGATGATGATGATCTGTAGTATATATATGTTGTTGATTTTTTTTATTTTATTTTATTTTATTTTTTTTTTTGGGTGATTTGGGTTTGATTTTTGTTTGATTTGGTTGATCTCTCTCTCTCTCTCTGCTCGGGTGATTTGGGTTCGGTTTTTTTGTGATGATGATGATCTGTATCACTCTCTCTCTCTCTATTTGATTTGGATTTAATTTTTGTTTGATTTTTGGTTGATCTCTCTCTCTTCCCTCCTCTCCTCTTTTTTCTTCTTTCTTCTTCATCGTCTCTGTTTCAGAACAAAGAGAAGGGAAAAAAAGGGAAAAAAAAGAAGAAGCAAAACGACGTTGTTTTTCGATTCGACCCATTTTGAGCCATAGTGTTTTCGAGCTACGAATCGGAACTGTTTCCAATAATAGTAAAATAGCAATAAAAAATGAGTTGTAACTTTTGTCATGTCTCTCTCCCTCTCTCTCACCTAACAAAATAGTTGCAACATCAAACCTATTAATCGCTGACTTTAACGCACATTACCTTTGTTTGATTCATACATTGTATAGTTACAAAATCATATATCCAGCTTAGTCTGTGATGAACCCCAAAGTCCAGCAGTATTTTCAAGAAAATCTCCTCCAACAAAGAATGACTTACCCCCAAAAAATTATGCTTATCATTTTTGTTTTATTTATCTTTTTAATTTTCCAATTGGTAGAAGAGAATTAAAAAAAGGAAAATCAAAATCCTCTGTAAAATATAAGATGGACTTAATTTCAACAAATATCAAGACATCTTAAAGTGAAGATCTAGAACAGTGTCAAATTCTATATGTACTACCTACTAACCATTGATTTGGATGCAATTGACTGAACTAAATTCAGGGGACAAACCCCACTCATACAAAAAGCTCCACTCTGAAGTCCAAAATAACAAACAACAGGGAATGAAAAAATTTCAACCATTTTAGTCTGGTACAAATAAAGCTCTGACTCGCATCAAGAATGTGCCAGCAGTGAACTATGATGTGAAGTGAGAACTGCCCAGTGAGATGATATTTTTTGTGAGTATTACAGAGCCATGTAAAAGTGGAACACAATAGGTTCAATGCAATATGACAATTAAAGCAACGTCTGGTCTGGTCTGATCTGATCTTTTCTTTCTTTCCCTCTTCTAAATGGTGGTAATTCTGTCTTGTAGGTTAGCTTAGCACGTGCCACTATAATCTAAGCAAATTACTGAATCATGCTGGACAAGCTGTCAAAAAAAATAAAAAAATGAAGAGAAAAATAAAACACAACTAATCGATGATCATCCAAACAATATTTGTTTGATTTTTCATTCATTCATATCTTCATTAGAGAGGTTGGAAACTTTGACTACTTAGTCATTTCCCATAATACATAATGATGCTCCTCTGTGTGCATGGATCTGGGCTTTGAAGCTATACTTTTTGGTATGCGTGTTGTGCCAGTGCCACCATGGTTTCGCCACTTCCTTGAAGATATTCTAATGCGGCCAAAACCGGTGCCCCCCTCCCCCCCAAAAAAAAAACAGAGAGAACAAAGAGATTCAGCACCGTAGGGTTGTAAAATGAACCAAACTACTCAAGCTCAACACGTGTTCAACTCATTACAAGTTGTTTGAGATCGACTCGTTATATAAACAAGTCAAGTTTGAACACAATTTGAAACTAGTTAATTTTCTCAGTTCGGCTCAATACCTACTATTGGGCTGGATTCAACTCATTCATATAATCAATGGCTTTTTAAACTCTATCCAGAGTTTCTCCAGAACTTAGTACGGAATTTATGTGCCATGATCAAAATCTTTTAAGAGGATCACATTTTAGTATTTCACTTATTCAGCTAGATTAAATTTCTGTTTCTAAACAGGCCACTCTAGTCTAACCTGTACATTGGTTCTCTCTCTCTCTCTCACTCTCTCTTTAAAGTGACTTGCACAAAGGTTGTGGTTTAAATGATTGCCATATTCCAATACATTCACATGCAATATCTCTCAAATTCTAGACCCCCATTTCCGAACTAACCAATTATACCTCTGGGGTTATCGTTAAGTGAGTGAGAGTTGCTAGTACAGTAAATACATACATATATACATATACAGGCATCTACATAGATGAATACACATACTGATTTATATGTGGTCAGTTGAGTGAGAGAAGCTTCCCAGACTACTCTATTTTTATAGAAAAGGACCATAGACACAAAAAAATTGTAGGGTACACATTTTTTTCTCTCAAATGAAACAAGGAATCCATTTCTGCATTCCAGCAAAAGAAATATATCAATTAGAATCATTTCTACCCATACAAAAGCCATAAATATGTACATAACCCAAGAAAAAAAGAAACAAAACCACAACATATAAACCAAATCTATTTGTTAAGATGGATCTAGATTTTGTGATTCAAGTGTTTGTTTTGGTTAATTTTTAATAGGTATTTTCTTTTCGTCAGACAACTATGACCTTGTTAGATTATAACTACATGTCTGAGCTTCAAACCTTCATCAAACAATCAGGGAATATTATAATTATGATTATAAAGCTCCAACAAACCATAATCCCACAAGTTCGTTAATTTTCCAAACCTGACCTGAAGTCAGCTCAATATGCTATATATACTATAAAAAAAGCAAACTAGTCGAGCTCAACTCAATTAAAACTTGTTTGAGATTGCCCCAAAAAATAAGCAAATCAAGCTTAAACACATTTTCAAAGCTCAAACTTGAACAACCTATTACTTGGCTCGACTGAGCTTGTTTACAGCCCTATTGAGCACAATCCCACAATATAATAGTAAATTTCTTCACATATCAAAAGCTTCCCACGTTGAAATTTCCAAAATTGAGAAAGAAATATGCGTATGGAAAAAGTTGAGACACTATATAGGTGAATTGGATCATGGATTTTCTGCTAAAAGCCAATTGGAATTTCAATTTCACAATACAAATAACTGAGTAAAAGAGCAAAATCAAACTTGAGAAGATTACTCACAATGCTCTAGAATGAAACTTGGCTCGACTGAGCTTGTTTACAGCCCTATTGAGCACAATCCCACAATATAATAGCAAATTTCTTCACATATAAAAAGCTTCCCACATTGAAATTTCCAAAATTGAGAAAGAAATATGCGTATGGAAAAAGTTGAGACACTATATAGCTGAATTGGATCATGGATTTTCTGCTAAAAGCCAATTGGAATTTCAATTTCACAACACAAATAACTGAGTAAAAGAACAAAATCAAACTTGAGAAGATTACTCACAATGCTCTAGAATGAAACCCTAAAACTCCAAAGTTACAATTTGTTATTCGACAGCTTTGTGTACCCCATCCGATAATCGATCTTGCTGTTGTTGAATTGACTTTCGTTGAAGATCTCTCCACTTGTTGATAGCCAAAGTGGTTATGACTGAAACAAAATGGCCCAAATGTTGTCGATGATCACACAACTGTTGAATCATATATAAAGATATAATCTAACAATACATATACATACATTCAAATCAAATCAATACATACATATATATATATATATACATATTGTGTGGGTATGAGATTGAAAAGAAAGATTACATCCGGCGCCGACGAAGTACAGCAGGCGAACGACCTTTGGGGCAGCTGGACCTGCATCTTCTCCGGCCATCTCCTTCACCTATTCACCTTTTCCCTGGTAGCTCTACTTTAGAAATGCGACCTAGTGAGAGAAAATGTTATGCCGTGTTTGGAAGCTCAGGAAAATAAAATGCTACACTAACTCTTTTTTTTTTTTTTAAATATGTACTTAAAATATGAATTGTCTCCTATATTTTAAAAAATTACAATATTCCTTTGTTATAATTTTTTATTTAACATAATTAATTAAAAAATAATATTCATAACTGTTTTTTATACAATAATAAAATTATTTAAATTATTAATTAAAATAAATTTTTGGTATCATTAAAAATTATTTATTAATTTAATGATTTATTAACAAAATACACTATTTCTTATGAAGTTAAAAACTTCAAAGGATGGAATGTGATTTCATAAATAACATGAGACAATTTATATTTTAAGTAAATATTAAGAAATTTATTTGTAATTTATCCTATTTTTTAATAATACAAATTTACGTGTCATGTTGGTCGTTTGAATCTTTTCCGCTATGCATCTCCTCGTAAGTTCGTGGTCTTTTCTCTCCTTATCTCTCTCTCTCTCTCTCTCTCTCTCTCCCTCTCTCTCTCAGCACCCTGATCAATTGGTTTTTGCATAGCACCGTGAAAATTTAGGACTTTCTTGGGTTTTTTTTTTAATAAAATAAAAAAAAAATTAAAAACACTTTTTTTTTTCTCATCATATTTATTTTTCTATGAAAATATATTTTTTTATTTTTTAAAAATTGGATTAATTTTTATAAAAAAAAATTAAAAAAGAAAGTTTTTGAATTAGTTTGCCAAATAATTTTTTAAAATTTTCAAATCTATGTATATGAGGAAAAAAATCTTTTTAAGAATATTGTGGAAGTTCCAAACTCCCAAACTAATTTTGTTAATTTGTTAATTTTTAAAGAAATAAAAAAAAATCTATTGATTAGTTCCTTAAGTTAAAAATCCAAAAATAAAAAAAGTTCTAATTATCTACAATTTTGAATTTTAAAATTCAAAACAATATGATA